GGGGTCACGGAGGGTGCGGGGATGCGGGAGACACGTGGAGATCGCGGGGACACAAAGGATGGGGGGGTCACGGGGGATGCACTGATGTCACGGGGACACGAGGAGTGGGGGATACGGGAGACGCGCGGAGGTCACGGCGACATGGAGGATGGGGCATGCGGGGACAGATCACGGGGACACAGGATGGGGGATGTGAGACACGCAATACATGGACATGGGAGGTTTGGGGCGCGGGGTACACAGCATAGGAACAGAAAAAATGGACAGTGGAGGGGGGTGCAGGATGCAAAGGACAGTGGTGGGAAGGATGGGGAGCAGGGGAAGTCACAAGTGGGATATAAAGGGTGGGGGACATGTGAGACCCAAAACATGGGAGGTGGGACTGGAAGGACAAATGGACACAGAGATCACAAAGGATGGGGAACATGTGGGTTCTCTGGGATACAAAGACACAGACACAAAGATGGGACTTGAAAGACACATGATGTGATCCTGGACACAAAAGATGATGGATGCAGAGGACATGGGGACGTGAAGGAGGGGGTGACATCAAAGGTGGGGGATGCAATGGGGGATACAAGGGATCCCTGGCAGCAAAGACAGGTTGGGGGGAGGAACACGAGGAACCTGCTGGCCTGGGCAGTGGCTGAAGAAAGTGACCAAAGCCTCTTTTTAGTTTAAAGTGGCTTTGTAGATTTTGATAACAGAAAAACAATTCTTGTGGAGAGGCCAGGAGCTTCCCTTTCCAAGTTATGATTTCCACCTTTGAAGGGTGGTCTCTCCCACTTCCAAATCAGGACTTAGCCCACAGTTTCCTCTGCAGCTGGAAATCCAGTAATGCTCATTAAAAGGGGCTTTTCTAGTAAACTCCGTCTGCAACACCTGGTTATCTTGTCTGGAGTCACACCTACTGCCTGGTGGGTTTGCAGTGAGGTTTCCCAGGAACAGGAAGATTTGACCAGTGTTAGACCAGTTGGGCGCACTGGCCACCTGGCACTGGCCATCTTCCTGCCTTGAGCAAGTCTCTTGAGCTGGGTAGTCTCTTCAGAAGGGGGTTCCAGTGAAGAGGAGGGAAGCACTGTCTCACACTGCTGTTGTCCCGCCCCTGCACTGCAGCTCCTCATCGCTCACCGGAGGAGAACTGGTTGCTGCTTCTACCCCCGTGCCTGGCCCAGCCTCAGGAGCACAGACTGGTGGGAGCGGGTGGTCCTAAAGGAGTTTGGGCCCCAGGACTGGTTGGAGAAGTTTCGGATGTCCAAGGAGACTTTCTTCTACATCTGCAACCAGCTGCGGCCTGGGCTGGCTCCACACAGTGCCCACTTCCACCCCACCCTGCCCCTGGAGAAGAGGGTGGCTGTGGCCCTGTGGCACTTGGCCACCAATGTGGAGTACCAGACTCTGAGCCCACTCTTTGGTGTGGGGCCCTCCACGGTGCAGAGCTGTGTCCGGGAGGTGAGCTACGCTGTTGTCTTGCTGCTGAAGCCGCTTTACCTCCGACTGCCTGACGAGAAGGAGCTGGAGAACATGGTGCGCATCTTCTGCACACGCTGGGGCTTCCCACACTGCATTGGGGCACTGGACAGTCTGCACATCCCCATTCACCCACCCCTGCGCCTCACCGCCGACTACTGCAACGGCCAGGGCTGGCACTCCATCCTCACGCAGGCCACTGTGGATGGGCTGGGGCAGTTCTGGGACGTCTCCACTGCCTTTCCAGGCAGCATGGAGAACAGCGCAGTCCTAGAGAGCTCCAGCTTGTGGGTGCTGGCCAAGGAAGGCCGGCTGTGCCCCAATCCTCCCAAGCATTTCATGGGGAAGGCACAGAAGTATGTGCTGCTGGGCGATGCCACGTACCCCCTGCAAGACTGGATCCTCAAGCCCTACCAGGAGGATGAGAACCTCACCCAGCGCCAGCTGCAGTTCAACTACCGCCTGAAGCGGGCCCACAGCGTGATAGAGAATGCCTTCCTGCGCCTCAAGGCACGCTGGCAGATCCTCCTCAAGTGTGACGACTGCAGCCTGGAGCTGTTGCCCACCCTCGTCCTCGCCTGCTGCATCCTGCACAACGTTTGTGAGGCCCACGACAACCCCTTCAACGAGGAGTGGCTGGAGGGCACCGAGCCCACCGAGCTGCCCAAGCCCTGCCAGCCTGCTCCAGCTGCCATGGAGGACAACCGGGCTGAGCAAGTGCGTGAGCTGATGTGCCAGTACTTCGAGAGCTGTGGGGAGGGCTGATGGGCCTGGGGAGCAGCTGCCCTGCACATCCCTGCTTGCAGACTCACCATGGACTCTGGCAAATTGGCCCAGTGCTACCAGCTGTACGAGATGGGAAGGGGCGGCCGTGTCACTCATCCTGGGTTTGCTGTAGAGGTTTCAGGCAGTGGAATGTATTTTGTGCCCATTCTCTCTCCCAGGATCTAAACTGTTTGGTGGTGTGTTGTGTGCTGCGGGAGTACAGTGGGGATTAGGGCTGGGAGGGGGAGGCTGCTGGGATCTCCCTCTCCTCTGTCTCAAGGCCTTTCCATTAGGCCAAAAGTAGCAGAAGCCTTGAAATAAGACAAAACTCTTTTGAAGGCTGAAACTTGCTGTGTAAACACACATGAGAAGGAGAGGGAAGGAAGAGGTGGAGCAGTGACTTGCAAGGGAGGGCTGACACCAGCTTGGAATTAAACTGCATCCACAAACTCAGGGATGTGCCGCCCTGAGGGTTTGTCCCATCTGGCACCCCCTAGGCCTTCTTCAGGGGTGTTTTGCTCAGCCTGGCACGCCTGGCTGCTCTCCAGAAAGGTTTGCCCAGCCTGGAACACCCTCAACCCCTCTCTGGAGAGGTTTGTGCAACCTGGCACCCCTGGCTCTTCTCCAGTGTGATTTTGCCCAGCCTGGCACCCCTGCCTCCTCTCCTGAAGGACTTTGTCCAGTCTTGCACCCCAGGTCCCTCTAAGGTTGGGGGTTTTCTTAGCCTGGCACTGCCCAAACCCTCTCCGATGGCATTTTGCCCAGCCTGGAACACCCCCAGGCCCCTCTCAGGGTGGGCCTTGCCCAGCCTGGTATCCCCGGCCGCTCTCCAGAGGGGTTTGCCCAGCCTGACACTGCCTGGCCCTTCCAGGGTGGAGTTTGCCCTGCCTGGCACCCCCTGCTGCTCTCCAGAGGAATTTTGCCCTCCTCGGCAAAACCTCTCTGGAGGGGTTTTCCCAGCCTGGCACCCCTGGCCCCTCTCTGGAGGGGTCTGTGGCTCAGTTCCTGGCTCCCTAGACCCCTGCCCGGCTCTTCGATCCCTGACCAGGCCCTGCTGGAGCCGAAGCTGCCCCGGCCATGGTGGGCAGCGGCCCGTGCCCCTCCCGCAGCGCCCCCTGGCGGGCGGGAACAGCAGCGCCCTCAGTGGGGGGAGGCAGTGCCCGTGCGCATTGCGCAGGCGCCGCCGCGCGATCACGTGGCGGAGCAGCAAGATGGC